TCCCAGCACTGTGACAGCTCAAAAAACAGAAACTGTTCATTCCTGTGTTCTCCTATCACTGGACATTTTGGATATTTCCAATTTTGCTAAAATTACAGCAAAATTCTCACTGAGCATAAAACTACATATAGTTGGGCTTTTTTTTTTCCTACTTAAGAGGCAGAACTACTGGCCCCTAAGGCATGATGACTCTTAAGGATCTTTCATATAATGCCAAACTGCTTTCTATAAGGATCAATTTTATTCCCACCTGAACATTATATGACTTTAACCCCAACCAGGTAATGCCACACCATTAAATGTCTTTTAACCTTTAATATACCTAAGTGACAATATGAACTGTTTTAATGGGTGTTTCTTTGAAGTTTTACTTATTAACCATTGGAATTTCTATTGTTTTTCAAGTTCATTGCCCATTTATCCATGGTGTTTTAAGTTTCTCTATTTGTGTAAGTCGTGTGTGTGTGTGTGTGTGTGTATTTAATCATAAGCCTATATCTAAAACAACATTCTGCGTACCGTATTTGTAGTAATCTTCACTGTTTGTTGAATAGTACAGATTTTTTTAAACCAAGTGCCGTATGTAAAAATTTCATTTATTTGCATTCTATAACTTCAATCCTATCAAGTTGTTTTTTAATATGTATTTTTTAAATCATCTCTATAAGAGTATTTTTTCCAACCTTGCTGCCTATTCATTTCATAAGCATGCTTTCTTTTTCTTCAGGCATGCCAGTGATCAGAGTGCTGAGCAGTCCTGCATGCCACTCAATCTATCTCTAAGTCACAACTGAATAACTCTACAGAACATACAGCCAAAGGCCACCACATGACTGCCAACCACCATTCCACACTTCTGTATGAAGTTCCTCAACCAGCTAGAAATCCACATAAGATTCTGGAAAAAGTAAAGTGTCAATTTTTACATTTTTAGGTAATTCATTTCAAAGCCATCAAAAAACTGAGTGCTAACTTTATTTTCTAAAATTAATACTTGCTCTGATTAGCCCATTCATAATAATTTGAAAATTTTGTAATGTGAGAGAAGTAATGACAGTAACAACAGTGGCTAATGAATGATTACTCAATGTGTCACTTGCTATGTGACAGGAAGTGTTCTAGGAAACCTTTACATTAAGTCAATCCCACAACCACCCTATGAGTTAGGTGCTATTATCTATTTTCTACAGATGAGCAAGATGAGTCACTGGGACAAGTCTGCAAAGACCACACAGCTAGTAAGTGGCAAGAGCAAAGCTCCAGTCTGCACTTCCAACCACACTTCCCACCCTTCATGCCTTCCTTGCTCCCAGCTACAAGCTTGTTTTGAACCAGAGACAAAAATACGTAGGGAACACCAAAATACACAGTTTGTTTCTACAGGACTCCTCATCTGGCTGAAGGTTGACTTCTACTGGTTCAATTGACTGTAATCCTTAATGTGATGTTTATGACAAATCCCCTACTATCATTCCTAAAAAGTTCTTAAAATGTACTATCGTAAATATCACCAAGGATATTTTAAACGCTATTTGTTTAGGCTTTTTAACACATAATTTAAATGTCCTATTAACACAATTTTAACATAAAAATTAAATGTCCTATTCTTACCCAAGATGGAATTTAGGTAACAGTGAACCCCAAAGCATTGCTGTGAGACAAACTGTGTTTCTACAAAATGGAAAAAACAGCCCAAAGGTACATGAAAATAGTTCCTCATCAAAACTGTACATAAAATCAGCTGTTAAAAACTTCATTTTTTATTATCAGTCTTATCAAGTAAATTGTCCCACATTTATTAACAGCAAACTCTGGACATCTGTCAAATCTTTAAGCACATCTCCATGTCTTCAGACTAACTTTCTTCATTAAGTTCACAGCTCAAAGCTGATCTAGCATGCGGTGGGGACAAGCACCGCAGAAATAGCAAATCAACATAACACATTCCAGGAGAAATGGTATAATCAAGTCCAGCCTGAACATTTGGAACTTTACTCACTTTAAAACAGCTGGGTATCCAAACGGGGCTCGTACCAAGATGAGGAAGACCCCGTTATCTGCCATTTCTGCAGAGGGAGATTTTTAAATACAGAGTTACATTGCTCTTTATACTAAAACCTTAAATTGCAAAATTTCCTGTTGAGCTTTCCCCAAAAAGGGCTTCCGGAATTATGAGTTCATATTTTGCCCTTATACTAAGAAAGTAAAACATTGACACTTTTAATGCATTTAAAATTTGCACTTTAATAACTATAATATTGCATTAAAAGTTCATTAATAAAATAATCCAAATTTTTGGACCAAAAGAGACTAATTTAAAAGGCCAAAGAAAAATACCCCAAAGTGAGCCCAATTAAGCTCTCCTTATCAACAGGTTCAATACCAAATAAAGTGTGTGTCCACTAGTAATAATACAGTGATTCAGTCTATAACTGATATACCGGAATTAGAAAAGAAGAGAACAAATCTGGTAAAGTCCCCAGACACTTACATTAACATATAAACTCTGTTTCCTAGCTAAGAGTATTTTACTGAGCTTTGCTCAGATGTGCCCAGTCAAAGGCTCACATCTCTAGCCACCCAAGCCTAGTGCTGAGGGCAGCAGGATCTGACCACCACCTGATGTTTACTCCACCACCTGTAATGTAGAACAGTGAAAGATTCCAGAACACATATCTCAAGTTATTTCAAAGTCAATAAAGCCGAGAATTACTTATAGGGAAATTACTTTTAGTTGATTCATCACTGAATTTCAGCAGTATCTGCCCTTGTCCACTATTGCTTAAGCAATGGAAAACTGGTTCCCAGGCAGGCACTAACTCTCTCATTACTTCTGACCCCTGGCAGGCAGGATGCTCTGCATGTGGGAGAACTGCTGTTCTCAGTGATCCCCAAGTACCTCCTCAAGGCCTCACTGTCTCAGTGTCCTAGAGTAAGAGGCTGGGAAATAGCTGACAATCAAAGCATCCCTACTCTAATTTTGACCGCCACTGAGGGGTTTCTGAAAACTGTGGCCCTAATAAAAAAACAAAACAAAATCTTGCAGTCTTACTGGATTAAAGAAAAAAAAATCACATCAGAATTCCCTGGGGAGCCTCTTTAAAAAGCCATTTCTGAGGCCGGGCGCAGTGGCTCACGCCTGTAATCCTAGCACTTTGGGAGGCCGAGGCGGGCGGATCGCTCAAGGTCAGGAGTTCGAAACCAGCCTGAGCGAGACCCCGTCTCTACCAAAAATAGAAAGAAATTAATTGACCAACTAAAAATATATATACAAAAAATTAGCCGGGCATGGTGGCGCATGCCTGTAGTCCCAGCTACTCGGGAGGCTCAGGCAGTAGGATCACTGAGCCCAGGAGATTGAGGTTGCTGTGAGCCAGGCTGACGCCATGCCACTCGCTCTAGCCTGGGCAACAAAGTGAGACTCTGTCTCAAAAACAAACAAACAAACAAACAAACAAGCAAACAAACAAACAGCCATTTCTGGACCTCTCTCTAGACCTGTAGAATCAGAATCTCTGAGCTGCATTTTAGTAAGCACCCCAAGAGATACTTAGGACAACTAAAACATAAGAACTGTCCATAACACTCTGCCTCTCGAACTAAATAGGAGACAGTAAAAATTAACGAATGGCAGGTCTTTCCTTTCCTAAATATAAAATACATACTTCTTGGCTGGGTGTGGTGGCTCATGCCTGTAATCATAGCACTCTGGGAGGCCAAGGCAGGCGGATCGCTCGAGGTCAGGAGTTCGAAACCAGCCTGAGCAAAAGCAAGACCCCGTCTCTACTATAAATAGAAAGAAATTAATTGGCCAACTAAAGATATATAGAAAAAATTAGCCGGGCATGGTGGCGTGTGCCTGTAGTCCCAGCTACTCGGGAGGCTGAGGCAGAAAGATCACTTGAGCCCAGGAGTTTGAGGTTGCTGTGAGCTAGGCTGACGCCACAGCACTCTAGCCTGGGCAACACAGTGAGAATCTGTCTCAAAAACAAAAACAAACAAACAAACAAACAAAAAAAAATATATATATATATATCCTTCTCTCTGTTAGTATTTACTCATAGGAGTGACTTTAACCCAGCCTGTACTAGCATCTGTGAAAAAAAGATAGCTTCAATGTTTCTAACTGTTCATTACAATGAATGACCTCTCAAATTGCTTATAGAATATGTCAAATATGACAAATATTTTATTAACACCTTAATATTTTTGTCTTTGCCCTATTGCTACAATTACAAAAACCCAAATAAAAGTTATCCTAAAACTGCCATAAGGAAATTAAAGAAAAGGAATTAAACCTCTGGTAATACAATAGTGTCCTACAAACAAATGCCACAGACCACCCAGTATACTAATATTAAAAATTCAGGGAAACTATTTCTAACGAAAGCATAATTCTATTTTCTCCTGATGTTTTCTGCATTTGAATCACTCTAAAGTATAAATCACATGACTTACAAAGAGCATGGCAGGATAAAGAAAAAAAAAAAAACCCTCCAAAATAAAAAGAACAGGATTTACTATGCTATTAACATACAAGTTCTGCTTTGTAAATACAATAAACAAGGAACCAAAAAAAAACGCCCCATTTAAAGCAAGCTATTTAAAGTGAGCTTTAACTTTCTCAATAAAGCCTGAAAATGTATTTTGTTCACTGCACTAAAAATTTTGAAAAAACACTATAACAATAGAAATGATTAACTTATTTGGGAGGAGGGAGATCATGAACCTCTTTAAAGTTTTAAAAATCATAGAAACTTCTCCCAGGAAAAGATAAATTATTCTGCACATCACAAAGGTAAGAATCTGCATATTGTTTCTTCTTTCTATTGGTAAATGGCTCGCTACATTAGAAATTAAGCCATTAAGAATGAGTATACGATACCGTTTTCAATCTCACTTTTAATTTACACTGCCACTGGCAAGGCAAAAGAAATCCCAACACAGTGACGTTACCCGGCAGATTGCGGACGCGACGCGAAGAGAGCGGGCTGCGTTACCTTCTCAGCTATGCTGTACAGAACCTCGTCCATTTTCATACAAGTGGGGTCCCAGTCGTGCCCGAACCGAATGACGACGACTCGGTCCTCCTCCGAGAGGATGGCCTGGTCTACCTGCCAGCCATTGTGCAAGTGCGGGAGCATGTACGACATCTTGGCGGCCGGACTGGGTGCCTGTGGAGGGGACACGGCTAGCTGCTTCTCCGCCGAGGTGCGCTCGCGGGGACCCCACCAGCAAGCTTCGCCAGCGCGGGCGGCCGCTGCGGGGCGGGCCCTCCAGGGCTGGGAAGGTGGCCTGGTCCAGAGGCCACGGGCAGAGGCCACTGCCGGGCCGGGCCGGGCCCCCTCGCCCCAGGCCTCCCACCCCGTACCATCCTTATCCCCCCAAGTCTCCCTCACCCCCGCCCCCACCTCCATCATCCTTATCCCCAGTCTCCTCGCCTCGCCGCCTGTATCCTATCCAACCTTTCCCACCAGGCCGCCACGTATCATCATCCCGCTTCCGACTCCCGCACCCCGCCCCACCCGTACCACCCTTGTCTCCCCAGGCTCCTGCCCGGTCTCCACGTACCCATCCTATCCCACACACCCCTCCTCACCACACCGCACCGTACATCCTATCACTCCTCACACTACTCTCCCCCGCCCACCCGTAACCTCGTCCTCAAACCAGGCTCCTCGCCCCGTCTCCACACCCGGAACCTACCTCCCCCCAAATCAATACAAATAAGACAAACCACCCGTCACAGCCTATCCCCCAACGCTTCCACCCCAGCCGCCACCGCCGCTAACCTATCCCCCCAATGTTCCTCACCCGGTCTCTCCACCCCGTACCAGCCTACCCCCCAGTCTCCTCCCCCGCCCCCCCACGTACAGCCTACTCCCCCAAACTCCCCGCTCCCGCACCAGACCGCATCCCGTACGACTATCCCAATCTCCTACCCGGCCCACCCGGCACCGTACCAGCCTATCCCCCCAAACTCCCGCTCCCTCCACCCAGACCGGCTCCGCGTACGCAGCCTATCCCAATCCCCACCCAGCCCCCTCACTCGTACCATCCTTGGCCCCAAGTCCTCGCCCCCACAGGCCCCTAAATCCGCCCTCACCAGCCCCGCGAGCCCCTCTGCACTGCAGGTCCCTGCCTGTGGATCCGCACCTCCGGGCAGCAGTCGGGGCCCCGCCCAGGAATTTCCCGGCGGTGCAGGCGCCGACGCGCGCGCCGCGACGCCGGTGCCGCTGCCACGCCGTGCGGTGCCGGACGTCGTACGCCGGCGCGGCGGATTTTGTGTCCGCGCGTTTCGGCTGCAGTTTCTAGCCGCGGAAGGCCAGAAAGGTGGTGTTGGACGCTGCCTCAGTCGCCGACGCCGAGGCGGCCGGGGTGGCCCGTCACTGAGCTGGTTCCTGAAGGCTCGTGGGCTTCTCGTCTTCCGTCCTTGCAGGCCTGGGAGCCGGCCCGGAGCGTGGGTGCCGGGCGGCCTGCGCGGCGGCGACGTCTGGTGGGGCCCAGGTTCATTCCTGTAACCGGAAAGGCACAGAGTGGTCCGCCGCAGAGCCTTAGCCGTGGGGGCTGCAGCCACGTCGGGGAGTGCTCGGTAAACTGCGGTATCCTCTGGGAGCGGGGGTGGAACACAAAATGACCTGTACCTCGTAGGCACAAGGTACCCACTTGGAAATCTGAGCCTTTATTGTCATGATTAACCTCAGCCCGTTGACGTCTACAGAATTCCCCAAAATTAGCGTCTTGGCAGTCAGGCTTTTCAGGCATAATAAACACAGTCGCTTAACTTCTCACAAGCAGTTTATTAACAAAAGAGTTCTCCAAGCTAAAGCGTAAGACTCACATGTCCCCAAGTAATTTATTGAAACTAGTTTTTTTAAAAACGTTTTTCTTTGCGGTAAAATATATGTGACATAAAATTGATCACTTTAACCATTCTTAAGGGTGTAAGTTCAGTGGCATTAAGTACATTCATATTGCGTAGCCATCAACACTGTTCCATCGCAGCCAAAACTGAGGCTGGAGTTGCTCCAAAAGCAGTGGCAAAGAAGTCCTCACAAGGGAGTGCCCCAAACTGTCCTGATGTGAGACCAGTTTGGGATTCCAAAGAAGGCAGTGCAAAAAACAGGGCGATTGGTCCAAAGGCCTTATTAGAGGAACTAATACACAAAGTGTCAGCAGTCATCCTTGTGGATAGCAAAAGAGTTGTTCTATCTGAGTATGTCCTCCATGAGGGGATTGGGGCATGGAGTTTACATAAAGGCTCCAGGAATTTGGCTCAGGGCCAGGGCTGGGTTTCGTCAGTGTTTTGGGCAGCAACCAAAACATTTTTAACAGTGTCTGGGAATGTTCAGGAGCCCTGTGTGGGTTCAAGCCTGCAGGGAGAAACATGCAGCTGGCCAGGTAACAGAATAGTGAAGGCACTCTATTTCTTGGTCAGGACAGAGAAAAATGTGGGAGGAACTGGGCCACCATACAGAATATAAGAAAACTTGGGGGAAAATTTTGAGATAATTTCTTTCCAGAAAGTTGTGATATGATGTATATTCCCATTCTCATTCTCTTCCCTTTGGGTGCTTCCCGCTACCTCAAGCCAAGCAAGAACCCTCACTTTGGGTGGCATGGGGTCAGAAGGGAAAAGACCCTATCTCTGGGGGCTTGATCTTTGCTTAGCTGCAGAAATCTCTGGGTCCATGCTTACTAAAGGGGCTTCAGTTGAGCTCTTTCGAGAAACCCTCAAAATCATACACAGTATGTTCTCTTTGAAAGGAGCCAATGCTTAACCTTATACTAAGAGTAATGCAAGTATCCAACTGCAGAAAAATAAACAGGTATACTTATTGACGCTATATAGCTGTAAAAATGAATGCTTACACCTCCACATATAAATAGGGACAAATCTCACACATACTGTTAAGTTCAGAAAAAAGTACATCACAGAAGACTACGTAAAGTATAATCCCATTAAAATAAAATGCAAAACCATGCCAAACCATATATTGCTTAGGCAAATATATGTATATAAAAGAAGTAAAAACCATAAAATTCCAGATAGGGGTTGCAAGTGGGGCAGAGAGGAGCACAGGGAACTTCAAAGGTAATGATATATTTCTTATGCATGGGGTGCATAACCAGGGGCTTATTTTATTGCCATTCTTTATACCTTATGCATGTTACACTCTTTCGTGTGTATACAATAAAAACGTTAAAGCCAGTTTTGTCAAATTTTTATTTTTTCAATATATTGAGTACCGGCTTAACACAGGAGATATTGTGGTAATTTGTGGATTCTTTTCGCTGGATGAATTCTCTAGAGCCCTTTGGGTAAGTAGTTGGAAAAGAAAACTTCATCTTTTGTGACTTACTGGTAATACTTTATGCAAGGTGAAACTTAAGAGATTTGTTATGAACTTTAAAGAGTAAAACTGTGTTTAGTCACTAAACTTTCAAAAACATGCTGTTTTGGGAAAGCCTTATTCCCTTTATTTGCCTTTCTTTCATTCTTCATTCAACAAATGTTTATTTAGCATGTACATGTATGTGCCAGACATGATGTCAAATGCTAGAAACTCTTGTGGAGTCTAGCAGAGGAGGCTAACTACACAGAAAATCATCAGGGTATCATGATGTAAGAGCATTTAGCAGGGGGGAACATACTATTTGAGAAGTTCAGGAAAGGCTTTTTTCTCTAAGAATGTGATATTTAAGTTGGGACCGCAGGATGCCTAACAATCTACCAGGGACGGGCGTGGGGGAAGGTTCAGGAACCCGGGGAACCACCCCTAGGCAAGAATACTTAAGAGGAAACAGAAAACGTGGACTGGCTCTATGGGAGCGCCCCGAGGCGTGTGCCAGGTGGGCGGGCTCAGGATTTGGGCTTCACCACAGGAGCAAGGGATTAACGTGCCAGAGTTGTGTGTTTCTCTTGTACACATTTAGGCTGCTGCGTGCAAGAGACAACTGTACGTGAGGAAACCCGAGCTTTAGATTATTGCACCAGGGTAGTGAGAGCTAATGTTCGTTTCGAGGTCTGACCTGGGGATAAAAACCAGAGACACAATCAGAATGGCGCCATAAATCGAGATCCCGGGTGAAATACTGTTCCCCAGAGAGGTAACTTAAGTGACATATTACCCAAAAGACGACAATTAACACTGTCAAAGCTTTCTCCACATTCTTGTTTTTAATTTGGGGGTGAACACCTCGCCTGGTCACGCTCCGTACCCCGCTTGCGCGCGCTCCCAACCCCCCGACGGCTCGATGCCCCAGTAGCGGCCGGCGCCGGGCAACCTCTTCGCCCGCACAGGACTCTGTCCGGGTCTGCGTCCGCGGCCGTAGCTCGCCCCGGGGTGCCCAGCCCTCCGCCATCTCTGCAGCAAAACCCACAATCCCGCTGGGCACCGTACGCACACACACTTCCGGTACGCGCCGCCGCGACTTCCGCCGCTCCCGCCCGCCCTGAAGGAGCGGACGGAGGGGGCGTGACTAGGCCGCAGGAGCATGGGCGGGACCTGGTTTGGGGCTGGGGCGTGGCCGGGACTGGAAGTGGGGCGGGGTGAGGCGTGTCCGAGGAAGTGTACGCGCGGGGGGCGTGGCCGAGCTGGCGCGGGGGCGGGTCCAGAGCAAGGCGGGGCTCCAGAAGGGGCTGGGCTCTGGGCAGGTCGCCTAGTGCTCTTTGACCTCCCGGGGGTCCGGGTCGCACTGTGGTGCCCGCGAAACCTGGGTTGTTTTGGAAGATAAGTGGAACCCTCTGACGTCGCGGGGCGGCCCAGGTGTGGTGCCTTGGGGCCTCACGTGGGACCAGGTGGGCTGGGCCGGATCCTGAGACCCTTCAGAAACTCTGCCGGGACCTGAAGGTCAGTTGGGACTCTATGTATTGCTCGTCTGTTCTCTAGGCAATAGCAGATTAACCTATGCATTGATGAGCTTCAGGTTGACGCGACAGATTTTATAGATCGCATTTACTTTTTTGCATGAATCTAGTTATTTATTTATTTATTTATTTTTGCCTTTTGTTTATGCTAAGACACAGTGACATACTGGTGTTTTTATGTTATTTTTTTGAGACAGAGTCTCACTCTGTCACCCAGGCTGGAGTACAGTGGCACCATCACAGCTCACTGCAGCCTCGAATTCCTGGGCTTAAGTGATCCTCCTGTCTCAGCCTCCCCACCTTGCCAAATAATGACAAAGGCCTAGAGCAGGGGTCCTTTTTAAACAGGGGGCCAGTTCACTGTCCCTCAGACCGTTGGAGGGCTGAACTATAGTTTAAAAAAAATGATGAACAAATTCCTATGCACACTGCACATATCTTATTCTGAAGTATAAAAACAAATGGGCAGGGGAATGTATGATGGGTTTGATTTTTATATCAAATCATCAGGCATGGAGAAATATCTTTTAGAAGTGTTAAAATAAATGTTCCTACTGTATATTTAAAATTAAAAAAAAAAAAATGGGCAAAATCACCCACATGTGGCCCGAGGGCCATAGTTTGAGGACGCCTGGCCTAGAGGCTGCATGAGGGCTTATGTTAGCCGGCCTTACTCAAGGGGGAAATACCGAATTATTTTTAAGGACTACTTAAAACTATAACAGATAATACAAAGCTGGTGACAGAGTCTGTCCACAGTGAGCTCCTGGGGGCCAGAGACTCCAGGGATCACATATTGTAGTCAGAAGACTTTGTTTGTTGGAAAAGGCAACAAATAAAGGAGTCCCTACAACCTCACTGGAAAGCACCTTACCAGGTACTTTTAACACACTCTTGCGCTGTAAAATTAAAGGCAGTTGCTTCTTAGATTCACATCTCACACCTAAAACAAGAACCTGACCACACCTGGACCTCTGAATCAGTCTCTGACACCTGCCTGCAATTTTGGAAAACACCCGAGGCTCAGCCGGTCTCCAGAGCAACAACCAAAACAGACGTTCTTCGTGAGACGTTGGCCCAGGCCAGTCCCTGTGAACCCTGAAATAACTCATTCTTACCATACTCGCTATAGATTATATTGCCAAAAACTCTGAATGCTTTAACCAAGATATCATAGAGGTTGTTTGGTGTCTACAGAATCTCCCTTGGTATAACTTTCTAGAATGGAGTGGTTATGAATTTCCTTGTTAGACTCAGAAAAGTGTTTTACCTGTTCACTCTCCTTCCCACGGTCTCCTCTATCTGCCC